ACTCCCTCCACTTCAGTACTTGTTAGTTTATAACCAGATGATATCTGTGTTAAAATCCCTTTGTCAAGATGTGCTTCTGCCGTACAGGAAGGCTCCCTAGAGAGAAAGTTCATTAACATCCCCAGGGATCAGCCCAAGGTGTGTTTGCCCATCTGCTCATGAAAGGAGTGAATGTCCTTTGAGAAGGCAATGGAGATGGTAACTGTACACAGGTTCAAAATGAAGCAAGAATCCGCTAAGTGACCAAATGTGCTGAAAGTAAACATTTGTATGGTGGGTCTTAATAGAGTTAGCTTAACATATTGTGAATCTGTGAATAAGGTTGTAATTGGGTTGGGAGTTTGGCATGAGAAACAAGACTGTCTAAACAAGCCTATAGTGACACCAGATCAAAAACACTCAGATCAAGAATTGTGAAGAAAAAAGAGGCTTCCCTGAGAAAAGAAGGGTTAATGACAAAGTGCTGGGAGTGTAGCCCGTTAGCTGGGGCTTGAGAGCTCCAGCCGCTGAAGGCAGAGGTGAGTTGCTGCAAATTGCATCATTCCCCTGCACTTAGTAGGGCTCCAGCAATTACCACCACTCTCAGCCTGCCCTGAAAAATGACTGCAGCTCCAATACCGCCGCAGCTGTGCTAAGCTGCCCGTGGTGACTGTACCCTCTCCTCTGCCCTGGGTGCCTGTAGCTATAGCTTTCCTCATGCCAGCAGTGACATGCAGCAGCTCATGTGGTGAGCTGCCGGTAGAGCTGGATGATGAGCTGGGAACTGGCACTGGTAGCTGGGAAAGGTTGAACCTGTGGGGCTGGGAGCAGTGGGGGGACTAGGATGATGATTATATGTTGGTTTGAAAATAGATTTGTGCTCCAGGACCCTACTACCACCTCATATAGGCTGCAGCTAATTGAGGATAGTGTTGCGATTGTAAATGTGACAATGGAGACACTTAAATTGCTGTAAGCAGCCCTCTTCCCACCTCTCCTGTTTCCCACCCATGGGTGCTCCTCCCTATCCTTTTCTGTCCCACAATATTATGGTGCTAGAGCAGAGCTGTGCAAAGCAAAACTGGGGAAATGGATCATGTGGGCAAAGCCACTTTCCCACCTCTGAGCCTTCTTAGGTCAGGAAGGACGTGGCAGCATGTGGGCAGCCAGCTCAGGCAGTGTGTGGCCATGCCAAACACCATCTGTGCTGCTGTGATGGCTTTTTCCAGACTACAGGGATGAGGAGAGCTCACGTGATGCTCTTCTTTTTCTCAGGTAGAGCTGAAATGGTCAGTGCAAAACTGACCACAGACCAAACTGAACTATTTTTGGTTTAAGCTGAAAGAAATGTAAATGGTCTAATACCAGAAAATCTTACTCTAACCTGGAAAGAAACTTCTTTCTCCACTCTGGACTTGTGACTGCAGAGATCTCGTAAATACAGAGTTCATCTCAGGAAGCTCCAGTTACAGGTGGATTTTCAGCTTCTTTACTTTTCCTGAGGTTGCTATGTTCCATCCCAGAGAAGAATCCTGCATATTAGTTTCCTTTCTAGAGATGTTGGTAACACTTTCAAAACAAAGTGTATAAACAGCATGGTCATGGCACTTCACTCACCTTTGTAAAGTCCCTTTCTTTCCTTGCTGGTTCATCATGGGACCAAAACTCTGGATTTTATGGCCCCAGCCTAGTTTAGCAGTCTTGGATGGATTGATAGCTGCCCTCACCCACATGCAGTAGAGCAAAGCCCTGAGCTAGATCTGTTCATGTCAATCTGATTTTTAAAATTTTTATTTTCAGGAAAAAAAAAAACAAACCATCTGGGCTTGCTAGGGCTGATGCTGAGAATGAAACACAGCGTAAGGTAAACCAGGTTATTTACAGACAGCAACCTGGACAGCATGCTATTATTCCAGCTGTTGGTAGCACTTCAGAGAGCTCTTTCTACTGACTGGGGTTTTAAGGTGTTGAGGAGCTGACTGCTGAAGTATTACAAGTTATTATTTCTTTGAAAGTTGTGTGCAGCTTGTTTGCAGACCCCAAAATCTAAGATAAAGCATGGAAAAGGGTTTATATGGGTCTGAAAAGAACCACAAAAACTCGGAAGTTTTCATTGTTTCCCACATACGCCAAAAAATACAGATGGAGTCAAGCAAAAAAGTCTGTGTTGGTGACAGAAGAAAAATTGCTGCCCTGCAGCAAAGTAGGCATAGCTTTATGTGGGCTGGCAATATCTTTTACTCATCCTGGATTGTTATTCTGGCTTTCTCAAGATAATGCTTCTGTGAGATGGTTAGCCAAGTAGATAATTGCATTTATTGGCTCCATATTTACTAACACAGTGTATTTGACAAAATTATGGCTGGCAGTGCCTTTAAACTGTGGTTCAGTGGGTTTATCAGGTTGCAGTGAAGTATGAATTTAGATATGTTATCACAAGTCTGCACTATCTCTAATCCAATTAATTATTGGAAAATGTGTTAAAATAATGACTTCTGACAAATTAAGGAGGGAGAGTTTATGCTCATCTAGTTTTGGGACTGCTTAATTCTAGTAAGGTGTTTATTATTTATTTCGCTCAAAAGAAATATGAAAAGGGAGATATTGGTGTTCGCAGCTGCCCAGACCCAGGCACAAGGAGCACTCTAGTGGGAAGCACTTTTCTTTGTTAAGACATTTAAGACAAATACTGCGTTTGATCTCAGGAGTCAAAACCTCCTGCTGGGACACTGTAGTCCAGGGAGACGGTGAAGCGGTTTCCCTGCCACAGCAGAACACAGCAGTGAGCACAGATGACACAGCTAATGGAAACCAGCCCACAAGTAGGACTACAACTTGCTCTCTCTCTGTTGGCTTTTTTTTTTTTTTGTCCCCTGACCCAGCAGGATCAACTCCTGCCTCAAAAAAGGTTGGTGAACTAGGCAAGGAGGTGTCCTTCCTGGGATGGGTGGGACAGTGTCCAGTGCTGGGCAGCACAGCACAGCCACCCACTTGTGCCTGTGGGAAGCAGCGCCCTGCTGTGCAGAGCAACGGGCTGCAGGGAAATAACACTCCATCTAACAGGGACAGTTTCAGCCTCTCCATTAGTTGAGCAAAGCACATGGCATAGAAATGTTACTGAGTAATACATTCCTTCTCAGTGTGTCTGTCCTCTAAACATGCTGAGGTCATCTAGGAAATCTCAAATTCAGGTCACTCTGGTCATCCAGAGTTTAGCAGGAGAGAGTACAGTACCAGCACAAGCTGCTGATGGAAGTTGTGAGTTTGCCACAAGAAAGAATTCATGTTTAATTGTTAATATTTGAAAATGATATAAAGGCAATTTTGGTTAAGTGATACTTTTTTTCATAGCTCACACTTCTGTGACTGGATAAAGTAAAACACTGAGGAAAAATCAGAAATACCAGGTCAGGTGGATTCTGTTACTGTATTTGCTCCTATTCAGATGCCAGTGTGGTGCATGTGTAGTTCTGCTGTGCAAAGTGACTGTGAAACTGCCTGGATGCCTTTTGGGTAACTGACTTGCATGAGAAGCAAATCCTTTCTAATTATCTTTCCTGAAAACTTGTGCTAAAATCAGAGCAGGCTCAATTATTCTGCTTGTGTATTTTTGACAAATAAGGGTGGTGATATAGGTCAAACTATGGCTTACATTGTGTTTAGATAGTTGATTTTCTCCCGCAGGCTTTCAGAGGAGTCACTGAGTGAGGCTGTAGCCAGTCCTGGTGATGATGCAGCAGACGGGACCAAGTTTGGCTGCCAACTCCTGGCTCTGTGAGCTTTGCAGTGCTGGCAGGAACAAAAAGCAGTAAAAACTTGCTGGTCACTGAAGTCAGCAGCTCTCACAGTGAATGCAAACAGGGAGCAAATCTGCTGAGTAAGAAGATGCCTTCCTACATGGTAACTTTAGAAACTAGAACTCTGAGCAGACAAAAAAGAGCTTAGAAAGCACTGGCTGCAAGCATGGAGTAGGATCAGGGGTGAAGCTGAAAGCTTAAACGGTAGTGGCAGCATTTGATTTGATAGTAGCTCCCATACACATCATCCATCGGGTGTTGATAGCATGATTCTCAAGCCATATGTTTGCAGTTTAGGCTGCACTATCAGCAAGCTCCATTTTGGACTTGAGGCAGATGTAAAGTTATGGCTACTTTCTGGTAGAGACAAGTAAAGGGCGGCTTATCCTCGGCAGCTGAGCACTGCCCTGCATGGCCATTTGGAAGTGGTTTTATTGGTGCTGTATGAAGGAGTCAGTGAGACCCATGGACAAAATGGCACTCCATTTCCGATAAGTTCCCATCCTCACATTCAAACATCAGTCTGCGTGTGTGGGAAAACCAGTTTCACCTGGGCCTTTGGGGTATCACCGCACCTGCACTGCGCTCACTGCCCGGGGCCGGGCTGAGCACCGCTACCCCTCGGGCATCTCTCGTTTTGGCACAGACCCGCCGGCTAAGCACACGTTTTGCAGATGCTTGCCATGCCGGTGAGGCGAGCGCGGCAGTCTCTGCTGTCCCGGGGGATCCCTGAGCCCCGGGGGGAAGGCACGGCCGGCAGCTCCTGCCCCGGCCCGCGAAACACCGGAGCCCTCGGCGCCTGGCCGGCTCGGGGCTGTCCCGGTGGGCGGGCGGGGAGCTGCCATCGGGTCCGGGAGAGGCCGCGGCTACGGGGCAGTGCCGGCCCTGACCCGGGCGGGGGTCGGGCTCGACCCTCCCCCATTCCCGGCCGTGCTCGGCCCCGCTGCCGCCGGAGCCCGTCGCCCCTCGTGCGTGGAGCCGCCGGGTCCCGCCGCTCCCCCCGCCGCCGGGGGTATTGTCCGCCGCGGCCCGCCCCGTCCAGCGGCGTCCCCTCCCTCCTCCGCCCCCCGCCCGGCCCTGCCCCTCGCCCCTCTCCTCCCCAAAGGCCAATGGAGACGAGATGAGGAGAGTAGGGCCGGGACGGGCGCGCCGGGGCCGCTCCGTCCGTCCCTTGTCTCCTCCCCTCGCCCACTGACCGGTCTCTCTCGCGGCGGCCGGTGGGGCATGCCAGCCGCCTCCCGCTAAATGGCGCCGCTCCGCCGCCGGGCGCTGCCGCGGGCGCTGCTGCTCCCGCTGCTCCTCCCGCTGCCAGGTGAGTGCGCGGCGCCCTGGAGGCCCCATTGTCCGCCCGCGCCCCGGCCCCGCTCCGCTGCACGTGGGTTTATTTACCCGGCACCGGCGGGACCGGGGACCGGTCGTGGTCCCCGCGCTTTGTTCGCGCTAGCGCCAAGACGGGGCGGGGGGCGCGGAGGGGGCGCGCGGGCACCCCCCCGCCCTCCCCACCACCACCAGCAGGGGGCGCCAGCGGGCCGTGGGGGCGGGCTCGCTCCCGGGCGCGCGCGTGGCGGTTAGCTTCCCCGCCGCCCTGGGCGGTGGGCGACCGTTAATTAGCCGCGCGCTCCCGCCCTCGCGAGCTGGGGTGCGGGGCCTCTGAGGGGACGGGAGGCTCTGCGGTGGTGAGGGGGGGGGGACCCGGGCGGTTAGACGCTCCTCCGCTCGCCGGCGAGGGGGTTTCGCTAACGATTTCTTGTAAAATTAACCTTTTACGACTCGCCCCGCTCCGGCTCCTTCGGCAGCCTCGTAAAATTAGCGAGCGGCGCGGGGTCCCCGGGCGGCGCTGCCCCGGCGGCACGAACGGCCGCACCTGTGGGGCCGCCCCCGCCGCGCACCTCGACACCCAGTGCCACCGGTGCTGAGCCCTGCCTGTGGCTGCGCGGGTGTTCAGGGCTCTGGTCCGCCAGCTCCCTGGCACGGTGCCTTCGCAGACTAGGAGGCAAACGTCTGGGTATTTTACCACCTGATGGCTTTGCACCACTTGACGTTAGTACCGTAGTTTTCCTGGTGTTTTCTGAGTTTGGAGGGCTCAGAGATCTCCGAGCCTGTAATAACGGTGGTTTTACATCGTGCTGTGGGTTTAGCAAGATAAATGGCAGCTTGTAAGTGCAATTGGTAACTTGCACGTCTGTACTTACTGGCAAAATCTTTTTTTTCTCTCTCTTAGGAGTGTGGTGCTTTAGTGAACTGTTTTTTGTGAAAGAGCCTCAGGATGTTACTGTCTCAAGGAAGGATCCGGTGGTTTTAGACTGCCAGGCCCGTGGTGAAGCTCCTATAACTATTACGTGGCTGAAAAATGGAGGCAAAGTATCTGAAGATGAACGGATCTACACTTTATCCAATGGCTCGTTATATATCAGTGAGGTGGAAGGAAAGAAGGGAGAGCTGTCTGATGAAGGATTTTACCAGTGCTTAGCTCTGAACAAATATGGGGCCATTCTTAGTCAAAAAAGCCACCTCACACTAGCAAGTAAGTTCCAGCTCTTATTTATTAACCAGTTCCTGAGTTAATAAACTCAGGCAATTTTGACAGGAATTCCATGAACAATGCACAGCAACCTATCATTTTGACTGTGTACCTGAAAAGACAACTGTCAAAAGCAAAGAGCAACAGAATTCTGCAGAACCTTTGTTTCTTTTTACATGTTTAAAGATAATGAGCAAAACTTGTGGTGGTCCTGTTTTGAGTCCCTGATGTGGCAGGAGGGTCGCAGCCACCTGTGAGACGTCCCTTGTGTGGGTGGCTCATGTGGGTCACTGGTCTCTAGAGCAGGTAGTGATGCAGAGCCATGCTGGCAACCTCCTGCAAAAGTCCTGGATCTTGTTTCTCAAGTGCTGTTCAGGCAGACTGACAAGAGTTATCTACAAATCTGATAAAATTATTCCTCGTTCAGTAGATTGATGTTGTGTTGTGCCATCTTGGGGCAGGGCAGAATAATAATACAGATGGCTGTCTTCAGGAGAAGGAAGAGGGGAAAGGTTTTCTGGGCAACTATGAGGGTTTTATTTCTTGCTTTTCTGACACATGTTCAGCCAAGCAGATGCAGGTGCTCTCCCTTTTGGAACTGCTTCAGCGTCCTCTGGAACCCACCATAAAGGGCCTGTTATCTGGTTCCACTAGGAAGTGAGAGGTGCGTTTCCAGAGTGACTCCCTACTGCTGGATGAACGGTGAAGGAAGCAGTTGTGTGGAAGTGCCTTTATGGCTTTACCAGTCTGACGCTGAGTGTGTGTTGCTCTCTCTTTTCCTAGTATCATTAAATGCATTGAGCAAGAGATGTGTGTCAGGAACCGAATGTCATGTCTTTTTCTGTGCCAGTGCAGTGCTTTGGCAGTAGGCTGCTTCTATAGCACTGTAATTTCTTGCTTTCATGGAGTAATCTTCAAGAAAGTATAACACAGAGAGTACACAGTTTACGTAGCCTTCTCATGTTCCCTCTATAATAGGACTTAACTGATGAACTTAATCTAATAGGAAAAGGCTTCTTTTGACCTCATCAACCCTGTTCTTAGTAGCAAGTTGCACAAAACTGTGGTGCTGATACCTCTGTGGAAACTTGACATTAATTGTAATTGCAGGTTTTATCAAGTTCAATCTGAAACTAGTTAATCCAATTGGTACATTAGTTAACATTAAAAAATGTCTGAATGTTAACATTTGTTAGGTTTTTTTCCTGTGTGCTTCTGAATTGATTATAAAACCTGCCTATAAGATACCCCAGGAAGATGTGAAATATGTTGTTCAGTGAGCCACAGTGTTGGACTGTTGAAAATCAGCTTGGAAGAAGGTGGCTCCAAGTAAGTGATGAGTTTTTCATGTGCTGTAAAAAGCTTGCATGTGAACTCTTGATTTCTAAAACCTGGCTGTATATTGCTTTGTATTATGGCATCTTACATACAGGATTGGATACTTTTGATAAAATGGTGAAAAATGAAGTATTAGTATTGTTGAAACTTAAATTCACATCGCTGGATTTCAGTGTGTCAACACTGTTAATAAACAGACTGAATGAAACCTTTCTCAAGAGGACAGGAACTTTTTGTTGTTGTTATTAACAAATGTAAAGCAAAGCAGTGGATGATGGATTCTGTATGTAGGACTGTGGAAAATTCAGGGCTGTTTTAAATCTGAGGCATTGCAGGATGAGTTCTGTGCTCAATATCAGAACTGGAATAGTAGAGAGTACTGTAGTAGTACAGCATAGTAATACACTTGTAGTATCTGGCTTTAGTCAGACAGTAGTGAACTTTTATGAAAGTTTGTTTTTCATGTGCATGCTATTTCACCAAAAGATGGTTTCATTTTTCTGTGGTGTGTTTTTTTTTTTTTTTTTTTTTTTTTTTGATAATGAAAGATTTTCATCAAGGAAGACTTGTGAACCAGTAGATTACATGCTGTGGAGAGAGACTCCTGTTTTGCAGTCTCCTTTTTTTTTTTTTTTTTTTCCTGTTGTTTTTTTTCTTCCCCTCCCCTGTGAGACTGTGACAAAAGGTTTCTTTTTCTTCTTTGAATACTTGAAAGGTTTCCTATGGCTGTTGGAGAAAACTGGAAGAGATAGTGGATCCATAATGATCACAGTAGGTGTTGTTGACTTAGCGATTAAGTGGTTAACTAGTGGCCAAACATGAGGTTATCCTATGTAGCAGTCTCTTTTTCAGTCATGTTCCAATCTGACTGGTTTCAGAATGTCATCTTTGTTGTAAAGCTGTGAAATAAGGCAGTAATTTGTATCATTATATTTTGAAGCCCATAAACTGTGCAAAATTAGTTTTATATCTCATTTTTACAGTGTTTCTGCCTGCTGTCATGAGTTGGTTGAACTTTGCAGACGTTTTAAGTGAAATAAAAGTTTTGTGGGGGATTGTGTAGGTTTATAATTTTGTTTAGAAGCAGTTGTCGGTTGCTGTGAAGGCAAATTACCTTGTGATCAGGGTACAGAAGGAACTATACATATTAAACAGGTGGAGAATAGGCATTAAATGGGCATTCTTTCTTTGGAGGAAAAAAGCAAATGCTCTCTTTGGGCACTGGTAGCAGCAGGGTGCGAGGATGTTCTTTTACTTTGCCTGGTCAGAGCTTTTGCCAGTAGGCTTATCTTTTGCTTATAATTGTAATGTTTAGTGTTGCATTTGGAAATAAAAAACTTTAATCTGTCCCAGAGTTTAAGATTTGAACACACAAGGAGATCAGGTCTTGGTTTCTAAAGTTAGGAACTGGAAGCTGAAGGTTGCACTCTTGGCAAGAATTCCATTATTCATGTGCAAATTAAGAATTCCCAGGGTTAAAAGGTTAGAAACTGGCCAGGATGAGGTTTACCCTTGTGATAAAGAGCAGATGACCCTCATTCATTGGCCAAAGCTTTCATGTAGCTCCTCTGCAAAGTTAGTGATTGCCATGAATTGTTCTTGAGGAATGCAGAAATTCAAATGTGAGCAGGCCTTTCCTTAAGTGTCACTATGGAGCCTTATCTCCCGAGCACATCAGAGTAGGTCTGCAGGGACAGGGTTCCTCCCCAGAGGCCCCAAGGCTTTGCTTTCCTGTTGTTCATCCATGCACAAAAGAATTTGACTAATTTAGGGCTTTTTTTTTTTTTTTTTTCGGTGAGATGCCCCTATTTTTTTTAGAGGAAACTGTGGGGCTGAGGTATTGCTTAGGTAAAAATAAGTATTAGTTTTAGTACATGCTTGTAGTTGCTTTGGAAGCAGGCTAATTGATGTGGGGGGGGAGGAGGGAGGATCCTGTGTGGCTCTTTGTGAGGCAACATGTGGGGGTAAAATGCTAGTAGTAAAGAGTATGACTTACTCAAAATTCAGCTTACTACTGCCACTAAGAAAGGTCTCTTTTAATGGAATATAAAAGGAATGTAGACTGTGGAGAAAGTCTAAGCACTTTTGGTACTACTTTGAATCAGCCAAAAATAAACAAGCTGAGACTTTTGTATTCCTGCATTTTAAAATTATGACTGTTTAACCACAGTTAACTAAGATTCTGTCTTAAAAATAAAGCTAGGCTTTCAATAAGATAGTAGTAAGAAAAAAATGGAGAAGGTGGATCATGATCTGAACATGGGCTTTGGGCAGTGATTGGACGGGATACTCATTGTTTATTTCCTTTTCACAAGAAGTGGAAATTGAAGTCTTAAAGATGGTTGGATGGGATAGATACAGCTGGGTAGGAACAGTCCTAGATAACCCTTTCTTGTAACTTGGCTGAATTGAATTTAATGTTTGTGAATTACAGGAAATGTAAGCCCAATTCTTCACATGCAGGTTTCTACATTTCACAAGAATGAAAGGTTATGCAAGCAGAATGTTTCTGGAAACATGCTCCCGGAGGGAGACTGCGTGTGCATGCTGCACTGCCGTTTGCGAAACGCTGGGCCTTCTACATGTAGCAGGCTATACTTTGTGGAGAGTTTGTAATTCTGCTTATCTGCTGTGTCAGTGATGTGACTTCTGGTCCTACTGTCATGCCAATAATTGTCAATATTTATGTTTTGATATCCTAATAACATCTTTTGCTCTGCTTCTAAATATTTGCACTTAAGAGTGCATCCAGCTGAGCCTTATTCTGTACTGTGACAATCATGTTTTCTTAGCAGTTCCAGCTGTTTGTTCCCACTTTTGCATTGTGCCTTTCCTTGTGTAGGCACAGCTGCATGTGTGGCTAAGTGAACAGGGAACTGATCTGGGTTAAAATAATAGAATTAAAACAAAAGGTGGTGTTTAACCCAAGTGAGTTCCCTGATGCGGTTTGTCATGGAGCCACTTGGTGATTGCACTGGCGTAACTGAGAGGAATGATATGGAGGTGGGAAGGCTTAGTGGGGACAGAGGAAGGCTACTGAAACTGACTGTCACAAAAATAAATGTTCGTCAAACTATGGCCTTTATGGAACACGTGTATAGGCAAAAATTTTACCCTTCTGCTATTTTTTAAAAAATTAGTATCTTGCCTTAAATCAAGGGTTTAGTAGCTGTAGTCTAACAGTATAGTTTTCATTTAGTATTGAGTCATTTCATGTGTCTTCCAAATGCATATAGAACTCAAAGGTATGTTTAATTATTCTTAAATAGTAATGGAGAGAGAATAATTTCTGAGATGGAAGGGTAGGGTTACGGAGCAGAAGTGGTTTTGGACTGTGGTGGTAGTGAAATGGCAAATGGCAGTTGTAGACAATGGTCTTATATTAAAAGAGATAGCAAGGTCTAAATGCTGTAGAACTGGTGTGGTTACAGACAGTTTGAGGAAGCTCTTGTTTTACGTTTTACAAGTGGTGCTTTATTGCTATTGCTTTGATTAGTTGATTTGAATGTCCTGAGAGTAGAATCTGTTTCGTAGATGAGAGTGCGCATGACTGATACTTAGTGCATTTCAATTCCAGTATTTAAGGCAGGAGAAAGAGGTTTAATGTCTCAGTTGGCAATGCCAGTTGATAATGGTGAAGAGGATTAAGATTTTTGTCCTTTAAC